CACACACACACACACACACATACAGAGCGTGCACTCACCAGATGATAATTTAATATTTTCTCCAAAAGCCACACAGAAACATATGCCTTTTAGTCCAACATTATGCACACTGGTAATAGTTTATTTTTTACCTTTCTTTTCTTTTGTACTGCATGACTAAACCTATTTTCCACACCTTATTTTAGTTACTCTGTAACTGAAAATAATACACAGGTGGAGAGGAAGACAGTTGTGTGTGATTTATGTCTTCTCAGTCCATATCAGACCCCTAAGAGACATCTGAAGCTGAAAATGGGAGTAAATTCAGAAATTTTCTACACTAAAATTCCATTCTAAGAAGTTTGAGCTCAAAATAACATCACTTGTCCTGTGAATATTAAATTTTGAGATGTTAGTTCTCCCATTCTCCTCGCGATTGTGGGTATGCATATAAACCCCAAATTTCTGTTTTCATACTTCAGAAGAGAGCAATATGGATTGTGTATAAAACTAGATAGATAACAAATGCAGTGTTTGTCAAATTCGTTTAAAGTTTCACTTGGTAAARCCCATGTAAAGTAAATCAACAAATATTCAAATACTGTTTTAAAAGAAAAAGTGTATGTATAGACTTAGAGGAAATTTTATATTCACAAAGATTTTTCGAGGAATAATGTCCAAAATGATTTTTGTTTTAGTTCATGCTGTGTTTTTATTCTACAGCGGATAGAAACGTGAATTTTCATTATATCATATAACGGCTTGCCGTACAGTGCGTGCTCATCTCAAAGTAAACGTTGCAGCAGCTGCCGTCCTCTTCCCTACTCCACACAACCATGGCGGACAGCGCGAGTGAGAGCGACACTGACGGCGCGGGGAGCTCAGCCACCCCAATGTCGTCCTCGGCTTCRAATTCTGGCAAACCGAGCATCATAATTTCACAGTTTCGTTTGGAAGAACTGACGAACCGCCTTGCGTCGCTACAACAAGAGAATAAAGTTCTAAAAATTGAGCTGGAGACGTTTAAACTAAAGTGCAAAGCCCTGCAGGAGGAGAATCGGGACCTCCGCAAAGCTAGCGTCACCATTGTGAGTAACGTTAGCAAGCTAACTAGCTGCATGCTATTATCGCTATGTGCTACTAAATATATTAGATTTTTCAGTAGGTTAGCTCAGGTTAATGTTTTTTGTTTAGCTTTAAATATTCAATGCTAACACACTGCTTGTATTCGAAAACGCCTCTTGTTGTTTTGCTCGCTCTGCTATCGTTGCTAAATTAGCCAGCGGAATATCGTTTCCCTGATGGTGGGGCAACGATAGGCAGCTAGTTTGCTTTTGTTTTGCTTAGCGTTGCTAACGTTAGCCAAGCAATTAAAAGGCATCCGCAAAAACACGCACATGTCTGTATGCGAGTTTACATGATGTTTGCTTATTTTTCCAACTGATTACTCTCTGTTATACACATTGTCACCACATTTTGTCCACCAAGTATTACGGTAACTGGGTGGGGGAAAAATAGCAGCAACACATTGGCATGAGGTGACGCTGATATGTTTTCATCACGCTTAATCAACCCCAGCTTAAAAAACTGTAACCGAACTGTTTGATAAAATACAAATTTTAATAAGGCTAAACTTGGCGACGTATAAATAGTTTAATACTCAAACCCGCAGTGTTTTTTTAAACATTTTTATATTTACATATAAATCCCTACATAGACTGTCAACTTTGATCTTTCTACCAAGCCAAGCCATGTTTTCAACCTTTTAGCCATCAGTATATGTTTTTAAGCAACTGGAAATGTTTTCAAAGTAGCATCACAAGTTTGATCACTACTGAAACTTGCACAGATTTTCCATTTATTTTAAATGGGCATTAAAAATGACCAGGAAGCCAACTTAGAAATCTGAAAATGTTGAATTTGGGAAAGTCTTTTAATTTTGAGACTTGTAGGAATCACGTGTTACAACTGGCAGGTCAGTTTTTATGCTTGCTGTTTCTGTAAGTTTTGTGAGGCTGAATAAGTTATATATTTTAGTATTGCTTTTTTATTTCTAAACTAAACAATGTGCCATTCTTGTATTCTCTTAAACATATCTTAGCCTTGAGGTCAGTAAAGAATGCAGCCTAGGGAATGAGACTTGTAAGGGCAGACATATCACCACACTGTAATGCTAGCTGCTGTAGCTGTCCTGACACATTTTTCAAATAGCCCCCATGCTTCACTCTTCCCTTCAACATAAGCCAGCCAGTATTGCAATACCTCTTGACTCAT